GGGGTGAGAGACAGTGTCGAAGGCCTTCCTAAAGTCCAGAAAGACTATGTCCACCGCGACACCTGCGTCCAAGGATTTTGTGACCTGGTCATAGAAGGCCACCAGGTTGGTCTGACGGGACCTGCTTCTAATGAACACATGTTGGTTGCTCCTAAGCATACACTCCCCTGCTCGCCCCTCACAGATGTGCACCTGGATAACTTTCTCAAAGAGCTTCCCCGGGACCGAGGTAAGACTAACAGGCCTATCATTTCCTGGGTCCTCCTTCCTCCCTTTTTTGAAAATGGGGACCACATTGGCCTTCTTCCAGTCCTCTGGCACCACACCAGAGCACCACAAGTGCTCATAAAGCTGTGTCAGGGGTCCTGCAATGACCTCAGCTAATTCCCTCAGCACTCTGGGGTGGAGATCATCAGGACCTGCTGATTTGAACACGTCCAGCCCCACCAGAAGTTCCCTGACTAGGTCCTCACTGACTCGGGGCTTGGCTGCGCCTCCCCTGGGTTACCCCAAGAGGCGCCCTGGTGAACAGGGTATCTCTGATCCCTTGCTGCGTCCCCCTGATGAATTTGTAGGTGGCTCCAGATTGGAATTGTTGGGGCCTTGTGCCCATTGGCCTCATGCCAGCTCCCTGCGAGCCTGACATATGCCCCCAAGGGGATAGGGTGTCCAGTAGGGCTAGTTGATGCCTGGCTCCATTCCTCCCTGCTGCCTGTGGTTGAGACAGACTGAAAGAGTGTTTTGCTTGGAAGTGTAAAAGCTACCTTCTCTTGTACGTTTAGCACACAGCTGTAAGTTAGGTGTAGACAGGTATTAGCAGTTGGTCAGACGAACATGCCCCTGCTGTCATCTCTTCACCTTCCCCCCACAAGGGTGCAGTCCCACATACCTAGCTCCCTTTTACGGGAGAGGCATGACATGCCATTCAAGGTAGTGCAGGAGAAATCCTGTGGGTGGTCTGGCATCAGGCAACACCAAGTCCATGCAGGCTGCCTGTAGCAGTGCAGGAGGGACAGTGGAACCTGCAAGCCCCCGTGACAGATGCCTACATATATGGTTCAACTTCTGAAAAGGCAGATGGAAAGGACTGGGGTTCATCCTTCCCACCGCTGCTTGGAGGATGCAGTAGGGAGAGTTCAGAGCAACACACAGGCATTGCTCCAGACATTCACAAATGCTGTGCCCTGGTAGAGGTGCCTGGGTTGGATGCCACCCTTGGCAGAGCTGCTTTAGCTTCCAAGGACCACATCTGTTATATCAGGCCATTTTCTCTGAGTCATCCAGAAAAAGTGAGCAAACTTCCTTGGATTCAGTGCTAATCTATGCCAGGCTTTTTGAAGCCATGCCACTGTAATGTTATGTGCTCATGATTTATTTGTGAAAGCAGCTGTAGAAACCAGGCATCTCAGCCCTTCTAAACAGACTGTTTTTGTTCTGCAACACGTTTATTAGGTGGCACAGGTCCATTAGTGATCTGCTCAGATTGTTATGACAATGCCAACATCTACTCCAGGACCCGAGAGTACTGCCCTTATGCGTACATCACAGAAGATGACCCGCTGGATCAAACCCTCTCCAATCTTATGGTGCAGATGCCCAAGGAGACCTATCCAACACATGTCCAACATGAAACCAGCACCCTGGACAATCTAATTGCAGACAGAGAGATGTCCGTCTTCCTCACCAACCATGACAGAATAAGTGAGAAGAAACTCCCCTCTCAGCAGACGAATGGTGAGTGCCTGACCTATTGTCTGCTCTGTTTTGTGCTGTCAGGTGGGTACCGGCCTGCCTGCTGCCCTTGTGTTGGTACAGTTTATTCCCGTGTGTCTGACTGGGCGTGGTAGTGCATGCAATAGCTGATCTGATTGCTAAGTGCTTGCACTCCTGGCTGTGCTTTGAGCAGAGGGGAGTCCGGAATTGGCACCAAATGCTCCTGGCATTGAGGGACATGGCAGTTCCTGCTGGAAAAACAGCACCTTTTGAACCTGCAGTTCCCCCCTCACGGTGCTTGTGAGGCGTAATCTCTTGCTCTTGGCTATCGGGTATTTTCCTCTGCAGATATCTCTCAGGAAATCCAGAGAGCTTTTGTGTTTGTATCCAACGGGGCTCAGTGTTTCAAAGCATTTGAAAAAATGTCTGGTAGGTGCGATAGTTGGGTCTTGTTGCAAGTCTCTTCCAGAGAGCTGTTTTAGTGTACGTGGAAAGACTATCAAGCATGTTGTTGCTGGTTACAGTAACAGCCAGCTACAGAGGAAGGCCTCTAGTAAGATGTGTACTTGGAAGCAAAGTAGAAAATAACCTTTTTTAACAATGCCCCTTTCTGCCAAGTCGTGTGGCATGTCAGAAATCCATTTAAAACTTGGTGCATTGATCATGAGCTCAGATCCCTCTTCGTTTTTTTCCCTCAGAACCTTTTCAGCTGCCCCTGTGGGGAATAAACAAAGACCTTGGGCTGTCGCGGTCGCACTGCCTGCATCAACAGTCAGTACACGAGGCCCCTCGAGCTCTCCGAGGCGAGGGCGTCCTTGACGACAACCGAGAGCAAGCTGCTTCACCCAGACCTTGCCACAGGTTATGTGAGCATAACTTTGATTTTAATAGGACTCGGAACGTTCAGGATTACAGTGAAACTACATAAGGCAGCAAGGAGAAACCTTGGAAGCAAGTTCAGACCAACTGACTCTATTACTACCTCAGGATTAACCCCATGGCCAACGATGCTTTATGTGCATGTCTACGATTCCAAGTTGAGTGGACCAAGATGGACTCTGCTACAAGTAGGATAGTGACACGGGCTCTTGTCTCTGGGATTTGCTGGTGTTAAAGACAGGAAGATGCAGCGGTTTGGCTGTACGTCCTGGTGAAAGAATAGTGACAGCCACGGCAAAAGTACAGGAAGGCGTAAAGTCTGATGTGGGGACAGCCTTTGTGGATACGCGTCTTGAAAATGCTCCCAAGAAGGCATAGCTATTTCACGTTGCCTTCTGTGATCGATAGCAGCAGCATTTAGGGTGTCCCTTTGGAATTCGCTAGTGATTGTAAGCATACAGCTGTTGGCCAGCTTGCATTCCTTCCGACTGTTAGCAGCACTTCGCATTACTGTGTCAGTCTTATGTTTTGGGGTTGTTCTTCCTCCTATGACTAATGAACTGTAGTTGTAAATACATTTGCATTTATAAATATTTTGTATACACTAAGCATATACATGTGTTGGCTGCAATGTAAATATTTTTTATTATGCCAAAGTGTATGTATGCTGTTCTAATTTTGACAGCTGTCTGTCAAACCAGAACTTTTATGATTAGGTTTTCTGATACTGAAAGCTTGTTTCCAAAGGATAGAGCTGTCTTCCCTGTTGGGAAGAACATGGTGTCTTGCAGGCACATTGGTGAAAGAGTGACCCTAATGAATTGTGCTCATTTATGTACAGCAGCAGATGTCAGGCTTGACTAGTGTTACTGCAGCCTGCTCCCTTTTAGTATGTACCCGGGAGGCCTGGGCCCCAGTCTGACCCGTTACACCTGACTGCAAAGTTCTGTGAGTCTTCTGTGTTGAAACCTGTCTGTTCCCTGCTACAGCATGAAATCCGACAGGAACCTTGTAGGAACAAACCTGATTCTAATCTGCAGCTTCCAGCAGCGCTCATAGCAGCAGGCAGCATGAGATTGACACACCTCAGCAGTGTCTCCAAAATGCAAAATGACTCTTCTTCTTCATGCACATCTAAGGAAATAATACCAAGCGTAAAAGAGAGTTCTGAGTGGCTGATGTCCTGCCAGCATCTGAGCTTTCATCTCTTTTAAAAAGCCTTCCTGGCCCATAGGTTGCAGAGAGCTCCGGCTAAGTGAACAGTACCTTTTGATTTGTCTTTAGTCCTTGGTTTGGCGGCCATGAGTACAGGCACCTGAATTAGGCAGGGGCCAGTTAGCTGTGCTGGAGGGTGCCAGCAGCTGCTTGGTGTAGACTGTCTTGCACCAACGCAGCTTGCCTTTTCCCAAGCCTGGTGTTCCCAGGCCTGGCTTTATAGTATGAATAGCAGCATAGATAAGGCCTTAACTTGCAAGATGTGAGGCTTAGATCTGCTGGGCCTGGGCATAGAGGAATCCTTTGCAGTAAGTGCGAATGCTGAGTGTGCAGCAGACAAACACTCCTCTGCTGCTTAGACAGCCAGGTCACTTCAGGCAAACTGTTGGGAGGACGTCAAGGTGGAGTGTTAGGCCTCTCAAGCTACCCAGAGAGGTGGTGGAGTCTCTGTCCTTGGAGGTTTTGAAGACCTGGCTGGACAAAGCCTTGGCTGGGATGATGTAGTTGGGGCTGGTTCTGCTCGGAGCAGGGTGTTGGACTGGATGTGACCTCCTGAGGTCCCTTCCAGCCCTCGCTGTCTGTGATCCTGTGATTCTCTTGGTGGAAGGGTGTATGTGGTACTCTGCAGGTGTTCTGCCTTGCACCGTTGCACAAGAAGCGAACCTGCTGTTCAAAAAGCTTGTGGCCCTATTGTCAAATGCCAGCAGTGAGATCCTGGGCCTATTTAGGTCTGTGGTGAATCTGATTCTCTCCAGTA